AACTCAAAATGCCAGACATACAATCCAAAATCACAATATGCTCATCTGTACCAAAGGGCTTTAATATAATCTCAGAATCTTTTTTTTCCCATTCATTGAAAGCATTTATACATATATTTCAGTATTTCAATTTTTGTCTAGATACTTATTTAAGGGTTTAAATGTTTCTTTCCTTTTTTTTTTGATTAAGGTCAGACATTATGTGATCAACTAAAGTGTTAACACTTTATACAGGTCTAAAATCTAGCACAGCTAAATCACTTTTCAAAGTAATCACAGTGATTTTTTACATCATATTCAACACTGACATTTGGTACGTAGACCAACTTATTCATTTTGTCACTTTCAGCCTTAAGCGACACAAATAAAGAGGTCAGAAACAAGAAATAAAATAACACAGTATAGTGTTATTCTTTTGATCATTTTTCTATTTTAAAATAAATAATGTGTGGGTCCCTGAGATCAGAGATGAGCCAAGGGTTACTGACACTTGGGTGCAGTCATTTTCACTGTATCTAAATTGTTATTCACTTATCATATCTAGTTCCCTCTTTTTATATTTCTGATCTTTTTGTATTTCCCACCCCATTCACAATAAAGGGTGTCATAGGAAATGTAGTCCTCTAAAATCTGGGGAAATATGGGGACTAGTTATGATTTTCCTTAACACTGCAGATGAACTCACTTTTCATTCCCAACAATTTTTTGGAGGATAAATATAGTTTCCTGGGTACAGCAAGCTATGTGACTTGGTGATTTGGTAGGTTTAGGTAACTAGGTGGGTGAGGATAAGTGTACATGGTGATAGGTGAATCTGGCTATGGTACCCCTATGAGTAGTTGGGTGAATGTGACTGGATTGGTAAGCATAATTCAATAGATGGAGTACAAGTGACTAGGCATGTGGCTGTAAGTGACTGTATGTGGCAGAATGTGTGGCTGGGTTAGTTGGATTGGATGAAGGTATATTGACAGATCAATGTAACTAAATGGGGTCTAGTGAGAAAGGCTGATGATAGAAACAGGGTGAATTGGTGTTAGGTGAGCTAGCTAGATGGGCAACTATAAAAAGAATCCATAGGAGTTGAGGGCAGAAAAAATTACCTTAAAAAATGGCAAAATAAACCACTTTCACTGTACCCCCGTAGCTAAGCTCTGGTCAGGAAGCATTCAGTGTATCCAGGGACTTCTAGTGTAACAAATATAACCTACCGAATATTTAGTATCAAGTATGCCTGTAAGTTTGATAATTTAACAATGAACAGCAGAAAATGAAATTGAAATCAAAACCAAATTATATTTTTATATAATTTATCCCAGAAATAAGTTCTCACTTTTCCCCATCAGTCAAAATATCCGATCCACAACTTAAGTCAAAATTGTAAAATGAATCCTTAGAGACTGTTTTTACTGATATATTTTCAAACCTGTCTATAATACCCATAGGGTCATGCACTAAGTAGGTATTATCAGGAATTCAGGTTGATTTCAAAGTAAATTTCCTGTAACATTTAAAGAACATCCAAGGCACTTAGTTAGCACTATGTTCATGAGATCTTTCCTAAGACCAAATAGTGGAATGTAGGGAAAGATGGCGATATATATATATATATACACTGCTCAACAAAATAAAGGGAACACTTAAACAACACAATGTAACTTCACACTTCTGTGAAATCAAACTGTCCACTTAGGAAGCAACACTGAGTGACAATCAATTTCACATGCTGTTGTGCAAATGGGATAGACAACAGGTGGAAATTATAGGCAATTAGCAAGACACCCCCACTAAAGGAGTGGTTCTGCAGGTGGTGACCACAGACCACTTCTATGTTCCTATGCTTCCTGGCTGATGTTTTGGTCACTTTGAATGCTGGCGGTGCTTTCACTCTAGTGAAACCCACACAAGTGGCTCAGGTAGTGCAGCTCATCCAGGATGGCACATCAGTGCGAGCTGTGGCAAGAAGGTTTGCTGTGTCTGTCAGCGTAGTGCCCAGAGCATGGAGGCACTACCAGGAGACAGGCCAGTACATCAGGAGACGTGGAGGAGGCCGTAGGAGGGCAACAACCCAGCAGCAGGACCGCTACTTCCACCTTTGTGCAAGGAGGAACAGGAGGAGCACTGCCAGAGCCCTGCAAAATGGCCTCCAGCAGGCCACAAATGTGCATTTGTCTGCTCAAACGGTCAGAAACAGACTCCATGAGGGTGGTATGAGGGCCCGACGTCCACAGGTGGGGGTTGTGCTTACAGCCCAACACCGTGCAGGACGTCTGGCATTTGCCAGAGAACACCAAGATTGTCAAATTCGCCACTGGCGCCCTGTGCTCTTCACAGATGAAAGCAGGTTCACACTGAGCACATGTGACAGATGTGACAGAGTCTGGAGACGCCGTGGAGAATGTTCTGCTGCCTGCAACATCCTCCAGCATGACCGGTTTGGCAGTGGGTCAATATTGGTGTGGGGTTGCATTTTTTGGGGGGCCACACAGCCCTCCATGTGCTCGCCAGAGGTAGCCTGACTGCCATTAGGTACCAAGATGAGATCCTCAGACCCCTTGTGAGACCATATGCTGGTGCGGTTGGCCCTGGGTTCCTCCTAATGCAAGACAATGCTAGACCTCATGTGGCTGGAGTGTGTCAGCAGTTCCTGCAAGACAAAGGCATTGATGCTATGGACTGGCCCGCTTGTTCCCCAGACCTGAATCCAATTGAGCACATCTGGGACATCATGTCTCGCTCCATCCACCAATGTCACGTTGCATCACAGACTCTCCAGGAGTTGGCAGATGCTTTAGTCCAGGTCTGGGAGGAGATCCCTCAGGAGACCATCTGCCACCTCATCAGGAGCATGTACAGGTGTTGTAGGGAGGTCATACAGGCACGTGGGGGCCACACACTACTGAGCCTCATTTTGACTTGTTTTAAGGACATTACAGCAAAGTTGGATCAGCCTGTAGTGTGTTTTTCCACTTTAATGTTGAGTGTGACTCCAAATCCAGACCTCCATGGGTTGAAAAATTTGATTTCCATTTTTAAATTTGTGTGTGATTTTGTTGTCAGCACATTCAACTATGTAAAGAATAAAGTATTTCAGAAGAATATTTAATTCATTCAGATCTAGGATGTGTTATTTTTGTGTTCCCTTTATTTTTTTGAGCAGTGTATATATGTATATATATATATATATATATATATTCAAAAGGCTTGGCACTCCTCCACATAAGTTTTAACAATCATAACTCTGGGTGCTGTACCCCACATTTCAATATACTGTCACTTGTGAACAAAAGGGTACACTCATAGGTATTTACACTCTTCAATGCTGTTTTATTCCAAAGTGGTATTCCAAATCAACTGTGCATATACATCAACGTTTTGGCTCCTAAAAGCCTTTTTAAAGATCACAGTTTGTATGACAAAATAGTGTTTATAAACAATAACATAAATTAACATGTAGAAAGACAGCCCAAGAACGGATTTCACTCGGAAGTGCAGAGAGGCATCTGATGTCATTATGTCAACATAATCTAACGTGGTTACTATAGTGACCTCCAAAGACATACTGATCAAAAATTATCTTGATACTAAGTGAGGGAAAAAAGGAGTAGATAGGTGGAAATAGGGTATTTGCATGGAGGAACGTCTTTTATTCACAAGTGACTGTGTGTATATGTATGTATATATATATATATATATATATATATATATATTCATTGAAGAAAGGTGCACTCACAGGGCTTCATCCATAAGTAGTTTTATTCTTAGATGTGCATTACATGTGTAATCAAATCCTCAATCAACGTTTCGACCCCTAAAGGGTCTTTTTCAAGATCAATGTACCAGTGAAATAAACACTTACGCTGAGGTCTGCACCCAGGCAAAGATATAAAGGAAAACTTCAGTTAATGGGTGAGTGCCAAGAGCATCTTTGTATTTATTTATGGTATTGCGTTGTACCATCTTGAGCACCCCCAACACATTTAATTCAAATTTTGAGTCTTATTTACTAAACGGTGTGTTTAGTTAATATTATTTCAAGAATTTTGTATCATGGAGGATTTTTTATCCAGAGCTGGAGTTCTGGCGGACACTGCAGAAACCCTAACTATTACTTATATACAAGCACAAGCAGTATTATGGCCTGGGACGGCTAGTGAATTAACTCACACCAATACTGCTAAAGATCTATATAATGATCTCATGAAATTAAAGAGACGGGAGGTTGATCTCGATTTACATGGTATCTTCATCTCCGACTATTATCGATCCAAAAGGATACCGAGAGGTTTCAGGATAAGAAATGCACCAACAATAGGGAGACAGAATCCAGATTTTTGCAAAAAATGGATAAATATTGCCAATAAATGTTCCCTAGATTGGATGGTCATAGTAGTCGAGGAGGTAGGTAAAGAATTGATTATGGTAAAGCATTCCATTCAAGAGTTCGAAATTTCCAACGTATTATCTTTGCAATCTTCAGCAGTAACTACTCAAATGTTAAAGCTACAAGACGACATTAATAAATACAAGAATGAACTTATCAGGTTCAAAAAGCAAAAATTAGCTAAAGTCAATCATGACTATCAATATCACCAGGTTTATAGATGGCTTAGTGGCACACCATCGTCTAACAGAGAACAAGTACCAAGATACAGACATCGGATTAGAAAACCCATTTTTCAAACAGTGGACATCAGTTCAGGGGAGTCAGCGTCGGATGCTGAAAATAGAGATGACAAATTACAGAGGGGATCAGAACATTTTTTAGAAATGGACCCTGTACCTCAAGAGTCTTCGGGGACATCCCGAATGGACACCAGAGGCATAAGAAGAATAGATTCCCACGCAGAGGACAGAAGGGAACACAGAAACATAAGTTCCAGGGGCAAGCCACCCGTACGGAAGAAGTAACGAATGTCTTCAATCTTTCTCACAAAACATTGACATCAGATCATTACTCATTACTCTTTGTCCCAGTGTCCAAACCGGATCCCTTTAAGATGGAAGTGGAGATGTATCAACTACAACGCACGCTCATTAACAATGAACATCGGAAAGAAGTTCAACCACACACATTGAAGAATCCATTTAAAGTGAAATACACTTCGAAGATAAAAACATCAAGCAACTCCATTAAAACTTTTATGCAAGTTTTGAAGAAAGATAGTGAACGCATTATCAGGAAACCACTGGATCACAGACAGAATTTAACTAAAGGTGAATGGGCAGCACTTAAAGATCTAAAGCAAGATGCAGAGATTATTATCCGGGCTGCAGACAAAGGCGGAGCCATTGTTATAATGACATATTGTCAATATCAAACAGAAATTATGCGACAATTGTCTGATACCACCACTTACCGAAGACTAACATTTGATCCTACTATCAAATTCCAAAAGAGGATTAAGGAACATATCATGATAGGATTACAAATGGGATATGTGGACACATTAACATCTAAATATTTATTTGTGGAACATCCGATACATCCAGTATTATATACCATCCCGAAAATTCACAAAGACACTAAGAATCCCCCAGGCAGGCCCATCGTGTCTGCCAGAGGAAGTTTGCTTGAACCTATAGCAAAATATGTGGATTTTCATATTAAGGATAGTGTCCTGGAATTACCTACATGTATTCGGGACACCAAAGATCTATTGAATAAATTAGACAAAATCTTGTTTGATGAACAGGACAGCATAATACTGGCTACTCTAGACGTACAAAGCCTGTACACCATCATACCCCATATGGGGGGTATAGAAGCCCTCAGAGAAATACTCACGATATTGGACAAATACCGAGGACCACCGATAGAGTATCTTCTTGAATTTCTAGACATCGCACTTACTTTCAATTATTTTAAGTTTGAAGAGTTATTCTATTTACAACTCGCGGGGACAGCAATGGGAGTGGCTATGGCACCCTCATATGCCAACGCCTATATGTCCCAATTTGAACAACGGCACATTTTAAATACAACACAGGTCAAGATTCTGGCTTATTATCGTTTTGTGGATGACGTGTTCATTATATGGAAAGGGTCATCTAAAGAACTGGAAGACATGGTACTCCATATCAATAATCTTAGGTCACCAGTTAAATTTACATTGGTATACAGTGAGAAAGAAATACCCTTCTTGGATGTCACTATATACAAAGACGGAAATAAACTTGGACATACACTCCATCGCAAGAGTACAGACAGAAATACTCTTCTTTCAAGCAACAGTTATCATCCACAACATCTTAAAGATGCATTGCCTATATCCCAATTCATGCGTGTTCTACGATACAATAGCGACAAGAAAAAACGTGAATTACAACTACAAGAAATGACCCTTAGGTTTCAAGAAAGAGGGAACCAGATTCAAACACTGGAGAAAGCAAAAACCCGTGCCATTGAGAAATGGACACAGGAGAAAAACAGCATACAAGTCAAACTTAATCCAGATCCACCTAAAATTTATCTACCTCTTACTTACCATACAGGTACCACACAAATTCGCAAATCCATTGAAAAACACTGGGACATACTCAATTCGGACAAATACTTACCTCCTATTTTCAACAGGAAACCTACCATCAGCTATAGAAGAAATAGAAATTTAAGAGATATTCTAATCCGTAATGACCCCATACAAAGTTACCAGAGAAAAGTAACACATAAGAAACCTGGATGCTACAGATGTAGCGGTTGCGTTACGTGCAGCCACATGATCCCTGGGAACTCTTTTGCCCATCCCCATCTTATTACCTGTCCTTGTGGGTTATCCTATGTAGGGAAGATGGATCTTACCCTTTGTGACCGCATCCGAGGACACAGATCTGACATCATGACAGCCTTTAGAGACTTAAAAATGGACAAACCAGTGGCCAAACACTACCTTGCGGCTTCACACAGACTTCCCACACTGAAATTCATGGCCATAGATCATGTCCCCCCTTTACCCCGAGGGGGAGACAGATCTAGAACATTGCTTCAAAGGGAAGCATATTGGATTTTCACTCTGGATACAGTCACTCCCAGAGGTCTGAATGAATACAACACTTATTCGATGTTTTTGTGAATTAGACATGATTACTGGTGCATTGATACTGTCTATTCATCATTGATCTGGAGTTTATTTAACTAGGCGTTTTAACATGGGTCGGTCACAGAATCTAGTACATCAGTAGTTATTGTATTTTATGTTTTAATATGTTAATAGCAGATACTATAGCTTCTATTTTGCTAATAGATCTGGTTTAATGACATATGTAGCGAATGTTCAGTTAGGTAACAGTATAGATTTCCAGCTAGTTTCTAGCTCCCAGCCACAATATTTTGCTATATGGTTAGGTAGTATTTATAGTATTGCCACATAGTTACCTATTAATGATTAAGATTAGATTCTGCAATAAGTCCAGCAATAGCACCATTAACTGCAAAGTAATTTTTGTATAATTTTTGTTTAGTATTATAAATAGACATTTAGCTTGCTTAAGATTAGTGGTAATATGTATATTTTTACATAACTAATTTATTATGCGATGAGATTGAATATTGTTCCTGACAGTCTATATTTCAGCTGGAGTTATTTGTTTGTTAGGTTTATTTTCACAAACATAAATTTTCACATTAGTGGCACTTGGTGTATTAGTTTTTCACATTTCAGCTGTCTTATGCTGTCAGGCTATATTTATATTTATATTTAGATGTTCATATTCTACATATTCCTCCTCATGGTATTGTTGACAAATACTTGGGATTCCTATTGGTTTAGGAACTATTTTAATCTCACTGTGCACTTAGTACACATTCATTCTTTTGATCCCCCCTAGAGCTGTCTTTGAGCTCGCGGTAAAATAAATACCCACGGAGGATTTGTTTACGTTGCCTAGCAACGACACTTATGATACGCGTCATCACGCTCAGTCACGTGGTCGCACTGTTTCACTTCCGGGTTTCGGATGGTCGGGCGGGAGCTCGTTCCCACACACCTGTTGGGTAAGTGATTACTCCATTTACCTACCTATATATGCATGTTTATTTCACTGGTACATTGATCTTGAAAAAGACCCTTTAGGGGTCGAAACGTTGATTGAGGATTTGATTACACATGTAATGCACATCTAAGAATAAAACTACTTATGGATGAAGCCCTGTGAGTGCACCTTTCTTCAATGAATATATATACACTTCAGTTAATGGGTGAGTGCCAAGAGCATCTTTGTATATATATATATATATATATATATAAATAAATACACATAACATACATATATATCTGTCTGTTTGTCTGTCTATCTATTTATATTTTTTTTTCCTTGCTCCTATTGGAAATGCTCCACCAAGCTTTAGATACTAAACCTTGGCAGGTTTAATGAATACAAACCTCACCTCCAGCCACTACTTTTTTATTGAACTGCCTGCTTTTTCTGAAATCACTCTCATTTTTGGCTCTTGTGCTCATGCCTCTAGCCTAATGGATCTGTTGCTTCTACATTCTTCACAGGTCAAAGAAGAAGAACAAAATCCGAGCTACTATTCACTGACACCAGTGGCCTTCAAACCTATTTAATGTCAGGCTTTTTTAATACTATTAAAATGCCCAAAGGTTCAAATCATGTGGAATTAATGCAAGAATTAAAAAAAAAACATTGTAACAGTGGTGACATAAATGCATACACTGTTATTATTATTATTATTGCCATTTATATAGCGCCAACAGATCCTGTAGCGCTTCACAATATAAGAGTGGGGAATTAACTATATATAGGACAATTACAAGAAAACTTGCAGGAACGATAGGTTGTAGAGGACCATGCTCAAACGAGCTTACAGTCTATATGAGGTGGGGTGTAAAACACAATAGGACAGGAAATAGCAATCAAATAAGGTGGGAGTGAAGCAGAGCTGGAGGAGAGATTAGAGTGTTGTCCTTTAGGAAAGAGCAAGAGACAGGTATGTGAGGTAGAGGTTACTCTGGGAGACCAATGGCTTTCCAGAAGAGATAGGTTTTAAGGCACTTCTGAAAATGATTCAACATTAGGGGAGAGTATGACGGTAGTAGGCAGGCTATTCCATAGGAAGGGAGCCGCCCGCGAGAAGTCCTGCAAGCATGAGTTGGCTGTACACGTGCAAGCAGCGGACAGGAGAAGGTCACAGGCAGAGCGGAGAGACCAAGAAGGGGCATACCTATGGATCTGTGAAGAGATATAAGAAGAGCTAGAATTGGTCAATGCTTTATAGGCATGAGTTAGCACTTTGAATTGACTCCTATAAAATAAGGAAGCCAATGTAAGGACTGACAGAGGGGTGAGGTATGAGAGGACTGACTAGAGAGGTAAATCAGTCTGGCAGCAGCATTCATTGCAGACTGTAGTGGGGCAATAAGTTTTTTGGGAAGACCAATTAGGAGAGGGTTACAATAATCCATGTGGGAAATTACTAGAGCATGGACAAGCTCCTTAGAAGAATCTTGCATAAGAAAGGATCAGATGCAAGCTATGTTTTTAAGATGGAATCTACAGGACTTGGTAACATGCTGGATGTGAGGCTTAAAGGTGAGGCCAGAATCAAGTATGACACCAAGACAGCGCACTTGCAAAGATGGACTGATGTGGATTCCACTAACTTGAAGGGAGAGTGAAAGATAAGGATCAGTATTTGGAGGAGGAAAGACAAGGAGGTCAGTTTTAGAGAGATTTCGTTTCAGAAAGTGGGAGGACATCCAGTCAGAGATGGAAGAAAGGCAAGCAGTGACATGTTGCAGGATGGCAGGGAAGAGGTCCAGGGAGGAGAGACATATCTGGGTGTCATTAGAGTACAGCTGGTAGTGGAATCCAAATGAGGTAATACATTTGCCAAGAGAGGCAGCATAAAGAGAAAATAGAAGGGGACTAAAGACAGAGCCTTGGGGGACTCCAACCGAGACATGACGAAGAGAGGATGTATCATTAGAAAAGGAAACACTGAATGAGCATTGGGAGAGATAAGAGGAAAACCAAAAGAGGACAGTGTCACAGAGACCAAGTGATTGAAGAGTTTGAAGAAGGAGAGCATGATCAATGGTGTCAAAGGCAGCAGAGAGGTCAAGAAGAATTAGCATGGAGTAGTTGCCTTTTGATTTAGCTTCGATTAGGTCGTTAGTAACTTTGATAAGAGCAGTCTCATTACAGTGGAGGGGGCAGAAGCCAGATTAAAGATGGTCAAGGAGAGAGTTGGAATT